TCTTCTCTGTGTAACTCTGCGTTTTCAAATATTAAGAAATCTTTTTAAAAAAGAATGTTTAAAAAATATAAATGATTTTCAAACCTTGCATCTTCTGATCTAGTTCATACCCATCAGTGAATTTCATGATTAAAAACAAAAAGATGCACATTAACTTGCTGAAAAATTTACAACAGATCAAAATAAAGATATGCAATGATACCCGAGACATAATAGTTGCTCAACCAGCCAAACCACACTGTAACCTGGTTAAACATATTCATGTACAATCCCATCACGGGGGTATGAGATCAAGGCTTGCAGGCAGGAGGCATCCAGGTTCCTGTGAGGCAGCCTGCTTTAATCAACTGTGAACACTGTACATGCCATAACAACTTCATTTTTACTGGAAAATGGCATTCTGCTTTCTGTATCAACCCCTGTGAATCTGCTTAACAGAAGCTCTCTTTTACTGATGATCTTTTTAAACTTGACGATTAGATCTTGGTAACGAGGCCCCTTCTTGAGACTGTCAGGTGGCCTTTTCCAGTCAACAGAGTCAATTAAGCAGAGTGGCCTTGTGGGAGCTGACCTTCAAAACATTAAAAGCAATCATCTTTTATGTTTTTGCTATTGATGGCAACAAACAGTATGTATATATTTAAGGTTTAATTGAAAAGCAGTTAAGAGGGAGAAAGACTCCCCATTCCCTGGTCCACTCACTCCTCAAATGACTGCAGCAGCCAGGGCTGGGCTGAACCAAAGTCAGGAGTTTCATCCGGCTCTTCCACGTGGGTGCAGGGGCTCAAGCACTTGGGCCTTTCTCTGCTACTTCCACAAGTGATTAGCAGGGAGCTGGATGGGAAGTGGAGCAGCCAGGACTTGAACTGGCTTTACTCCCCTATGCCACAATGTTGGCCCCAGAAGCAGAGTATTGTACCCAGGGAAAGTCTTTCCCTGTTCTCTATATGAGAACTACTATCCTCAGGATGTGCTGGGACACACAGGGAAAGTCTCAGCATGCAGTGGTGAGGAATTTTATTTAAGGAGCTGTCCATCTTCCTTACTCTACTCTAGTGGCAAGAACCTCATATGAATGTTCTGTCCTGGTTCCATCAACAGGTCTTAGAGGTCAATATGCAACGAGAATGACATTGCATAGCTTTAGTCCTTGGTAGCAATACAGAGCTGTTTGGCAGTAAAAGCATACTCTAAATCAAGATATGCAGAAAAATATATTAATGTACATTTTTATCAACAGTATAACTGAATATAGATTCTGGAACCAGATTATCTGGCAGTTAACAAAAATCTCCAAGACAGCACGGAGGTGTTATATCAAGCTGGTCCTCTGCCTGCGGTGCCAGCATCCCCTCTGAGTGCCAGTTCTAGTTTCAATTGCTCCACTTCTGATTCACCGCCCTGCTTGTGGCCTGGGAGGGCAGCAGAGGGCGGCCTGGGACCTTGAGCTCCTGGCTTTGGATTAGCCATGTAGCCAGTGTGGCCACTTGGGGAGTGAACCAGCAGATGATCTTTCCCTGTCTCTCCTTCTCTCTAACTCTTTGAAGGTAAATCTTAAAAACAGTAACAAAACACCTGCATTATTTTGCTGGAAAGGGAGGAGCCACTTGCTGTTCACTGGTCAACTTCCCAGAAGTTTGGAACAACAGCCAGGAACTCCATCCAGGTCTTTTTCATGGGTGGCAGGGATCCAACTAGCTGAGCCATCAAGCCAGAAGCTAGAATTGGGAGTGGAGCAGGACTCAATCCCAGGGATTCTGACATGGGATGTAGTGTCCTGAACAAACTAGTTCTCAATGTTCCCTGGGTCAGCATCACTCAGGGACTGGCTGGGCTATTCTGCCCATATACTTAGGATCACTTATGGTAATATTGGTAATAATAATTAAATGGTTTCCTGTGCCAAAAACTGTTTTAAATCTCATCAAAGAGACAAATGAACTGGAACATCTGCAGTGGAGTGAGTGAAGTGGCTGTTTGCAGTGCCAGCATCCGTTGGGCACTTGTTTGAGTTCCAGCTACTCCATTTCCAATCCAGCTCCCTGCTAATGCTGCTGGGAAAGCAGCAGCTGATGGCTCAAGTAGTTGGGCCTCTACTCATGTGGGAGATTTGGATAAAGCTCTGGGTTTCTAGCCTCATCTGGGGAGTAAGCCAGCAGATAGATCTTAAGTCTTCAAAAAGTATGTTTTTTAAAGGATGAAATGTGCATGTGCAACGTAGTGCACTTATTCCATTAATCCTCAAGAGTAGAGGCTACATGAATTATTGTGTTGTATTTCCAGGCTGCCTTCTAATTTTTAAAACTCTGGAGAAGCCTCTTGGGTTTAAATCCCAGCGTGGCCACTTACTAGCAGCATAACCATGAGTTATTGCCGAGACGTCCTCTGTGAAATGAATAGTTGCTAAGCTTTCAAGTTCACTGTTGTGAAGATTAAGTGAACATATATTAAGGACTTAGGATCAGGCCTAAAGCTTAATAAATGATCTTTGTTCTCACAATACGGTTACTACGATGTTCTGTTCCGATCATTTCTTTTTAAAACTATTTATTTTTATTGGAAAGGCAGGATCTACAGAGAAGGAGACCATCTGCTGGTTCACTCCCCATGTGGCCATAGTGGCTGGAGCTGAACCGATCTGAAGCCAGAAGCCAAGAGCTTCTTCCGTGGCTCCCACACAGGTGCAGGGGCCCAAAGCCATCCTTTACTGCTTTCTCAGGCCACAAGCAGGGAGCTGGAAGGGAAGTGGAGTATCCAGGACATGGACTGGCACTCATATGGGATCCTGGTGCTTGAAAGGGGAGGACTAGCTGATTGAGCCATTGTGCCAGCTCCATTTCTTAAATCCTAAAATGAAATAGAGCATTGTAGAATATCATGTCTAGAATCAGAGACCAGAGTTCAACTCCTGGCTTATGTAATCAGCTATATGACCTGAAGCACATTATTTCTTTTTTTAGCCTCTCTCTCCATTTTTAAAATAAAAGATAAGAATTAGAAAACAAACAAAAAACACCCAAAATGCTTAGTACAATGCTTTACACTCAACATGAATTGGCTGTTTTCACTTAAAAAAAATTTTAACAAGTTTTGATATAGTTCCACAGGTTCTGGGGTTGCCTGTGCCCTTCCCCAAGGCCCCTCTCTACCTCCTCGATTTCTCCTCTAGTTTTACAATAGATGTCCTTCATGAACAGTAACAAGTCCATCATGCTGTATTGAAGTGCTTCCCGACAATGTTGGCACGGACACTGTCACGGAGTCCATCCGCTTACTGTTAGGATACATTCAATCCTTTCACTGGAGTCCATCTCAGGTCTGTATGCAGATATACAGCCCTTTGTCTCCATGTCTGAACATATCGGTCTCTGCTACACTTCTGTTATATACCCCCTAATCACACAACCGGTGAGCAAAGACAACAGGGTGAAATAGTAAGTTTTCATCAACATGAAGTTAATATGCTACAAAAATAAAAATACATCCAAGAGTGGTGAAAAACAGGAATCAAAAACCTTGTAGGAATAGATGCCAGTGCATGACACTTGTGGTACTGGAGGGATTACAATTAATAATTACAACTTCATTATTCATGATATGTAGCAAAACAGTGTTGAAATGGACATTGACAATCTCAATAATGTCACTGGATTTGTTTACTTATAAAGTATTGAACAGCTGGGCCCAGCACCGTGACCTAGCAGCTAAAGTCCTCATATGGGCGCCGGATCTAATACCGGCAGCTCCACTTCCCTTCCAGCTCCCTGCTTGTGGCCTGGGAAAGCAGTTGAGGATGGCCCAAAGCTTTGGGACCCTGCACCTGTGTGGAAGACCCGGAAGAAGTTCCTGGCTCCTGGCTTTGGATCGGCATAGCATCGGCCGTTGCGCTCACTTGGGGAGTGAATCATCGGATGGAAGATCTTCCTCTCTGTCTCTCCTCCTCTCTGTATATCTGACTTTCCAATAAATAAATAAATCTTAAAAAAAAAGTATTGAAAAGTTGTCAAAGTAGGTGCTGGTGTGCTGGAGTGGGTTGGACTACTCTGCCTGCAGGACAAGAATCTATACTGGAGTCCCAGCTGCTCTATCACCAAACTATCTCCCTGCTAATACGCCCGAGAAGGCAGCAGAGGATGGCCTTCGTGTCTGGGCATAGGCACCCACGTGGGAGACGTGGAGAGTTCCTGGTCTTAGTACTCACCACTATTAGGGGAATGAACAAGTGGAAGAGGCATCTCTCTCTTCCTCTCCATCATTCTGCCTCCCAAATAAATAAATACATCTTTTAAAAAAGTTGTCAAAATCAAATCATTAGGTCAATCTTATGAAGTATTACGATCTTTGTTCAACGGGAGGTTATCTTTTTTTAAAGATTTATTTATTACAAAGTCAGATATACAGAGAGGCAGAGAAATAGAGAGGAAGATCTTCCGTCCGATGATTCACTCCCCAAGTGACTTCAATGGCCAGTGCTGTGACGATCTGGAGCCAGGAGCCAGGGACTTCTTCCAGGTCTCCCATTTGGGTGCAGGATGCCAAAGCATTGGACCGTCCTCAACTGCTTTTCCAGGCCACAAGTAGGGATCTGGATGGGAAGTGGAGCTGCCAGGATTAGAACTGGCACCCATATGGGATCCCGGTGCGTGCAAGGCGAGGACTTTAGCTGCTAGACCACAGCGCTGGGCCCAATCTTTTTAATATTATCTAAAAAGTGGCAGAATAGGGATTCAATCCCAGGACTGGATGAGCTAATCAGATTGTTGTGCCCTGGGTATACCACACAAATCCTTAGTCCACATGCACACGGGCATCATGTTTCAGGCACTGCCTCTATGTAGATGCATTTCTGATCTTCCACACAATCACAATCACTAAGGATTTGTTCTATACTAGATCTGGCTCCAAACATTCCACACACATTCTGTTCTGACTGTATGGCTACCCCTCCTTGCCACACAGAGTGGATATAATCAGAGAACCATGCAAAACTCCACTGCTGATTGGATACATGGATAGTTTGCTTTATTATTAAAATTTATTCTTATTACAGGCTACAATTTTGAAGTCTGAAGCATAAGAGAAAATTAAGAGAGCTTAAAAAAATTTTGAACAGTGTGTAGAAGATGGTTTAAGCTTCATATGCAAGCATTTTCACTTAGCTCTTGGTCAAACGTATCTATTGTCAAGCACAGGCCCTGGAGCCACAGTCAGTAACATCAAATATCACAAACGACTCCAAGACGTTCACCCTACACAAGTAAGCATGGAGATATAGATATATGTTTATATAATATATATATACTTTAATATTATATTGGTCCACCAAGAATACATATTTTAATAAAAGATAAGAATTTATGTCTTCCAGTAAAACATACATAAGATTAGGGTACACTTATTACATTGAAAGTGGTGTTTGCAAGTCACAGATATTGAATGTTTTCCAGAGGTTTTCTTTAAAATTTTTTTTTCAAAAGCATTTCAAACATTTGTTCATTTTCCTAGTGCAAAAAGGAGGTTGTTCAAGTTAACTTACCTTTTTCCTGAAGAGTAAGGGGAAAGAAAAAAAAACACACATAAAAACCCATCTATCACAACTCTCAATACAATTTTCTCAATCAGCACCTGCAGGAAATCCTTAGGTCCCTGGATCAGTTTATCAAAGTCAGAACCTTATGCTTTAGCCCTTACTGCCTTACTGTGACTTTTCTACTACAATGTTTCTATTTATAAAAGTAGAAAAAAGAGCAGTGCACAAAAGTGGTTTGTTTTAAACTGTAGCAGTCCAATTTTATGTGGAGAGAAAAAAAGCACCATTTCAAGATCCAGTGAGTTGGGTATTCCGAAATTTATGCACAGGCTAGGCAGTAAGTTAATCTGACTCACCTCAGACCAATATCACCTTGACTTGGTGACCCCAGTGAGTTCTATTAATTTTTAGGTGCATTTTTCTTTATCTTAGTATTTAATATATCATCTAATTTAGTAACTCACATTAAAAAATTAAGATTATAATTTATAGCTTATTTCATATTCTTTCAAATTCAGTTTACACTCTTACTCAGTTTTACAGACTTCCAACACATGACGCTTCTCAACTAAAGAAAAGATTCTTTTTGCTAGCTTTCTAGTTTTATAGGTAAACTTATGAAGAAGAGTAAAGAAACCAATTTAAACCACAAAGATGGCCAGAAGAGCAAGGTATGTCATTTTTCCATAAGTACTTAGTGACCATTTCTTTACATTTCAAGTAACTGAGCCTTCATAAAGAAAACCAAAAATATATATGAAAAATTAAAGAACCTTCCAGTTCCAGCTTGGAGTTTTTGCAAATGAACAGAAAGAAATCCATCATGAATTGAAGACAACAGTGCTGGTTGGCAAAGCCGAGCAGCTGCCAAATCTTCTACACTTACTTCTCCTACATGAGTGGGTATATTTTAGTTGGTACATTTTTCTCCATTATTTAGCACTTAAAAAAAAATCACACTCAAGGCTTTAACATTTTTATTTAGGAAAAGACTGAGTCTGAAGCCTAAAGCATTTCCTTTCCCACAGCATTGTCAATCTATGCAGTTTTCCCCCTTGGCTCTAAAAAACATATTAAACATTATTTGTACCATAAAGACACTAAAAAAAATGCTCTTCAAACTAGTGAATTTGCACCAGCCGTAAGATAAACAAGATGCCCTTTCCTTTCCCCTCCCTCAGTCCGAGCAGGGGAGAATACTGACAACTTTAAGCAGTGTCCCTGGCTTCTGTGGGCTTAACTACAGAACAAGGCCACCACGGGATGAAACTACGTCTCTATACTCTGGAAGGCGGAAGCTCGGGTGCTGCAGCTTTTACAAGTCAAAGGAGCACAGGCAGGCAGAAGCTCAGAGTAAACGCGAGTCAGAACAGGGTTTAGATGAAGCTGTCTCCTGGGCTACCTCTTTTACAGGGGAAAAATATACAGGACACACAGGAAACAGACTTAATAATACTAAAAGACAAAACAAAAACTAAATGTTTTTCTGTCACATTTACAGGAATCTCCTATCTTTTGTATTCCCATGCTCATAGGTAGTTTTGCTACACATTGTAAATAGCGTTGGTGTTTGGGGAGAAGGGTGTGTGCGGCTGAGAACAGATGAAAGACTTCTTCATGCTTCTGAGATCTCCGACTTGCTCAGTGCAATCGCCAGTTCCAAGTCCTCTTGCTCTTGCTGATTGAGCCGGGCAAGCCTCTGCTCCTCCTCTCTTTCGCTTTCCCTCTTGGCCCATTCAATCATGTCTTCCTCAGAGGGATACTGCCATGTAAGAGAGCAAATTCACGAACACATGAACAAGTAAAGTAAGTAAAAAGAAGGAAAACTAGCTTTTTTTGAACAGCCATTAAACATTTGTGTTATCTGAAGGATTCTGGGAATAGTTTTCTTTGTTACTTGTTATTTTTAAAAAAATTTAAAAACATTTACCTTTAACTAGTTCTTGTGGCTGAATTTTTAGAATTATTGCAGTCTAGATCGATAAAACTACAACATCAAAAACATCATTTAAAAATATACATGCTTAACAGACTAGGGAAATCTACAAACAGAACGAGGCTGGCCTTTTTGACTAGTTTAACTGGAGTGAATTCATTCTCACAGGATGCTTCATGCTTAATCTACTGGCAACTGTCTACTTTGTTCAAGTGCTTCAGGTATAGAAAAAGTACAAAGTAAAAAAACGTTTATTTAGCTTTATTTAATATAAAAGTATTGGTCATACTAAGTGAGATGTAAGCCAATTTTGGGGGGGGGGCATTTTGAAGATTTTGGCATGCTTTGAGAACCTTTTAAGCCATCCACATAAAACACTGAAAATGACCAGGTTGGGGAAATATTTTTATCCACTCAAATCGAAACAATCTTGCTAGATCTTAAATAAAGAATTCAACTTTATTTCTAATCTTGAGGTACAGAGGAATCCTGCAAGGTTAACATGAGGCTATTTGAAATTGATAGCTTTATTCCCCAGGAAACTAGGGACTATATGAAACTTATACATATATATGAAACCTGTAATACTTAACAAACAATTTACAAAGGAAATAAAATGCTTACATTATGAGTGGCTTTATGTCACACTAATTTTGGGAATCTGAAGTATAAAGTAAGCAAAATGCCTCAACTATTGTTCAAGTTTCATTCCAACTAGGTTTTGATGTGCTGATACTATATATATAAGATACTATGTGCCACAGATTGCCAAGCGTTATTTTATACTAAGACTTTTATTTTCCCATGAAGGTCAATTCTTGATGCTCTGCTTGAAACAATATAAATTCCATCTCATGACAATCAAGTCAATATAATTTTGATAATACTCCGAATATAGACTCCTTTTTCTTTCATCACATTTAGAAGCCACAGGAAGGCAAAGAGAATTCACTCAAAATCCCAGCTGCCTCAGTTACAGTCCTTCTAGTGGCTTCCCAGTTGGACATGGCAGCAGGAAAAAGCCACCGGGCTGAGTGATCCAGCACTACACTGAGGAGAGAGGAGCCATCAGGCAGACTGTGACCTGGCCAGCTGGTCACCAGCTCTTACTTCTAAAACTTAAGGTACAAGAAGAGGAACAGAAAAATTCTTGGGTTGCAGAATAGTCAGTGATAATGAAGGTTATTTGGTCTGGAAAAAAAAATCTGGGTAAAACTTTTTTTAGTTACATTCTAAGACTTTTTGGGGGGTTGGGAGAAAGGCTTGCTTTCAATCCTAATAACTAATTAACTGCTTTCTGTCCTTTCAGAGGTGGTCCTCCACGGGCGGTGGTCCTTTCCGTGGTCTCAGATTCTGCTTATAACACGAAGCCCAGGGCCCAGCGCGGTGGTGCAAGTGGTTAAAGGTCCTCGCCTTGCATGCCCGGGATCCCATATGGGCTCCAGTTCTAATCCCGGCAGCCCCGCTTCCCTTCCAGCTCCCTGCCTGTGGCCTGGGAAAGCAGTAGAGGACGGCCCAAGGCTTTGGGAACCTGCACCCACGTGGGAGACCCGGAAGAGGCTCCTGGCTTCGGACTGGCATAGTATTGGCCCGTTGCGCTCACTTGGGGAGTGAATCATCGGACGGAAGATCTTCCTCTCTGTCTCTCCTCTCTGTATATCTGCCTTTCCAATAAAAAAATAATAAAAATAAATCTTTAAAAAAAAAACACGAAGCCCAGCACCATTCCTCCTGATCAAGCTCCCACGCTAGTCAAATAAAATGCAAAATAAACATGGGAGGCGAGCGATGTAGAGCTAGCCAAATAACCCGATTTTCACTTATTTCATAAATCTGACATTTCTAAAAAGCTACTGCATAAAATAACAGTAAATAATGTCTCTTTCTATTTTAAAGAATTCCTGGCCTTATCCTCTCGTATCATGAAACAGTTGCTAACTGGTCTCCACAAACCATTAAAACCTTCCACACAGCACACATACACAGTCAGAGGTCCTCAAGCTCATTACTGCCATGATTTATATCTGGCAAACAGATGTGACAAAGAGCTTGCTAAACCACTGCCGTCTGTAATCACCTGCAAAGCATGCTTGCTTTTTACTTACATCTACATTACCAAGACTAAGAAGAGGGCTTACAAAACAACGTGCATAGTTCACAAGAACTGAGATTAAAATTATTTGTGCAAGGGAACCATCAAGGAGAACCAAACAGAAGTTTTGCTTTGGGGAAAAAGAAAAAAAAAAAACTATGATGTTGGTAAATTAGTTGAAATGGTATAAATTTGGCAGACTCCAAAATAATCTTTGAAAACTCTTCAAACCACAAAACTTTCCCCAAAACAGCCCCTTCACAGTACTTACAGCACTGAAGTTAGCAAAATTGCTTGGATCAGCCTCTTTATTGGTAGTGGTAGAAGTGAATGGATCACGATACATATCAGGTTCTTTTCCGGTGGGGTTATCATTGCCTGGGAAAGGCTGAAATGGATCATTCATTTTAAAGGGATCAGAAGAATCCAATTTGTTGATGGATCTTTTCCCTGGATTAAAATCATTACAATTAACTCAAGCGGTAAGTATGCAAACACAAGCACACAGGCACACACACGTACAGGGAGCACCAAACCGAGAGTGAAGCGGCGAGGACTTGACAGACTCTTATACCAAGAATCTGTCCATAACATTCATGATCTCTCAAATGCATTTTAGCTATGTGCACTCATATGAAGAAAAAAATCCTAGCAAAGCAGGGATGGGCAGGATAATTACATTTTAATACAGACAGTAAACTGCCTTCCCTCAAAGTAGCATGCTCCCAAGAAGAGATAAAATAAGAATGAAAAAACAAGAGGAAAATTATAAAGACAGAAACAGCCTGTTATAAACCTCAGTCTGACACTTATGTAGGGCAAATGACTTTGAAAAAAGTATTCTGGTTTTTCTGTATATACACTGCCTAGGAGCATACAACTTAAAATTGCCTTGGCAGAACCATTTTTCTGCCTAATTTTTCTGTCATGTACCATATTTTAAACTGAAGAATAAATAATGTTGGGCCAGTGTGACGGCTCAACAGACTAATTGTCCACCTGCAAGCACTAGCATCCCATTTGGATGTTGTTTTGTCTTCCAGCTTCTCTGCTTCCCATCCATTTCCCCACTTAATGGCCTGGGAAATCAGCAGAGGATAGCCCAATGGCTTGGGATCCAGTACCATCATGAGAAACCCAGAAGAAGCTCCTGGCTTCGGATCAGCTCAGCTCCAGCCATTGTGGCTGTTTCAGGAGTGAACCAGTGGATGGATCTTTCTGTCTCTCTTTCTCTCTGTAAATCTCATCTGGCTTTCCAAAACAAACAAATAAATCTTTTTTTGCTTAAAGTATAAATTATGTTTTGATGTCTAGAGCTTACATCTTTGTGGTTATTAATAATCTTTGCAGTTGTTGATAATCTTTGACCAAACAATAGCTGTTTAAAATAACTGCTTAGTTACCCATTAATTCATTACCATTTTTGAACAAATACTCTAATTTTAAAGTCTTAAACTGCGTACTTCATGAGAAAGAAATGGCAAGAAGAGGTGTAACGATGTCTTCAAATACTTTTCTTCTTAAAATGCATTAAGATGTAACGACTATCTTTTTCATCACTGTAGCAGCTTACAAAAGATGTTTTATTTTCCACCTCAATGGGCCCTTCCTAACAATGTTGTAAAGGTAGGCAGAGTTAGAATTAATTCTAATTTCCTGTTATGATCAGGTACTGGACATTCTTTTTTTTTAAGATTTATTTATTTTTATTAGAAAGGCAGATACAGAGATGAGGAGAGACAGAGAGGAAGATCTTCCTTCTGACGGTTCATTCCCCAAGCAGCCGCAATGGCTGGAGCTGAGCCAATCCAAAGCCAGGAGCCAGGAGCCAGGAGCTCTTCCGGGTCTCCCAAATGAGTGCAGGGCCCCAAGGCTCTGGGCCGTCCTCTACTGCTTGCCCAGGCCACAAGGAGGGACCTGGATGGGAAGTGGGGCCGCCAGGATTTGAACTGGTGCCCATATGGGATCCTGGCGCGTGCAAGGTGAGGACTTTAACCACTATGCTATCATGCCAGGTCCCAGATACTGGACATTCTATGGCTACAACTATGGAGCTGGTCAGGGGATACGTGTTCAGGCTCCCAGCCTGTTTGTTATTTCCAACAAACTACCCTTCTGCCTTGGATCCTTCTATGAAATGCACTTATTCTGCTGAAGATTCTCAGACCAAGGTACTAGTCTGCTAACTAAAAAAAAAAAAAATGCCATCACACAGGTATACAAATATAGATGAGCACATTTACTTTTTACTTGTTGTTTTTAAAAAATATAGTTTGACAATCTTAAGTAATATACCATAACAGGCTACTTATTTTTCAACAGATAATTGACTATCATAAATAACTATATATGAAACTCTTTCTTTATATCATGTAAGGAAAAGAAATCTACCTAAGAGATATTTTAGGGAGGTTTGATAAGAATTATAATTCTTAAGTACTAAAACAAAAATTTTCCAAGGAATGCTCAAAAAGCGATGTGTACCAAATGTCTTTTCACATATTGACCTAACAACACACTAACATCTTGAGAGAATGCCTTTTAGTCACTTTTTATGAATAAAACAAAAAGTTCTGTTATGTATAGTTTTAAAACCACGCAGACTTCAAGAAAAAAAAAAAAAGCTATTGAGAACGTTTTTGGACTAAAAACAAAAAAATCATTATAAGCTGGATATCACTCAAAATGTTTAGGATCACAAGGGTTTGAATACTGGATTTTAGAATACTTTGCACATATATAATGAGATATTTTGGGGACAGGATCCATGACTAAACACAGTATTTATTTATGTTTTATATCTTACAACACAGAGCTTAAAGGTAATTTTATACCATATTTCTTTACACCGTATTTTTAATTTGCTTGTATTTTTTAAACTTTTATTTATGTGAAACGCAGAATAACAGAGACAGGGAGAAAGAACGATGATCTTCCACCCTTGGGTTCACGCCTTCAACACGGCTGGGGCTGGGCCAAGCAGAAGCAGAAGCCAGGAAGTCCCTCTGGGTCCCCCACGTGAGTGGCAGGAACCCAAGCACGTGGGCCATGCCTTGCCGCTTCCTAGGCTTAGCAGCAGGATCACAATCACGGTGCGTGCGATGTGGGTGCCCTAATGGCAGCTTGAGCTGAGGGGTCCCAACGCCTGGCCCGTGCTTGTATTTTGACTGTGTTCCAAATACAGTGGAATTTTTCCTTTGTGGTGCCCTGCTGGCACTCAGAAAATTGTGGATTTGGGAGCATTTTGGAGTTCAGATTTTCAGGTAGGAATATATTTAGCCCATGTTATAAAACAAAGCTTCTCAAGTGACATAAAATCATATTTTCCGCCAAGAAAATCAACACTGATTTAATCACTAATTGCTGAATTCTGGACATCAGATGGTCATAATTCATATTTTCACATTTTGGGATTTATGGAAGACAATATCTTATAGCAGAGAAAGGAACTTCAAATTAATTTTTTTCCTGTACTTTTAGTACTAGAAACTGCTGTTCAAATGATGAGCTCTTCAAAAGTTAGATATTTCACCTTTAAGTCTCCTTTTCCATTTGATTCTGACTGAAAAACAAACAAACAACTTTTTGCCAGAAAGGTAGTCCATAGCAATTATTCTTGCTGGCCTGAGACACATGATGAATTCTGCAGTGAGGTGAGAACAGATGAGAAAGGCAGGATTTTTTGTGTACCTGACTTACTTTAAGGCTATTTATATAAATATGTAAATAATGTCCACATAATACTTCTCAAAGAGAAAATGCATCTAACTAGTTTAGGGACAGAACCAATTCTCATACCAGGTGGTGGCGGGCAGGGTCTGGTTGGAGTCCCGATTTTTGGCGGCAGTGCTGGGGGTACTTCTTCATTTTTGACTGGTGTTTCCTCAAACACATTTTTTGTAATCACTACATTGCTGCCAGAGCCTAGTGTTGCTGAACTGAAAGGATCTTCATTGTTGACCTTTATTTAAAAAGAGAAGTTTATACATGGAATTACACAGAAACATATACACACACATTATACTCAGCTAACTGCATGATTATGCAGGATTTGGAAAGAATGATTACAGTACATAAGAGGTTATTTGCTTCAGTTCTGAGAACTGGTAGTTTAATTTTAAGACATTTAAAAAAACATATAATTTGGGAGCCGTTCCTTCCGGCGCGAACCATGCCGGATTCCCAGCCACAGCTTCCGCCGCTTGCGGCGGAGGCAGGGACGCCGGCATCCCCCTGGCCAGGGGGCAACTAAGCCCCCTCGCGAGTAAGTACCCGCGAGGGCTGGCGAGGGAGCTGGGGTTCAAAACCTGGCTCCCCTCTACCCCCGTCAGCTTTGGGCTGACGGCAGGGTAGGCTGGGCGGTTCGAATGTCCGGGCAGGGGCGGGGTTAAACTCCCATTGGGGGTGGCGCTTCATGGGAATGACCCTTCCGGTTGAGAGGCGGGGGCAGAGACCCAGGCCTTGGGCGGCCAGTGCACCAAGTGGTGCCAGGCTCTGCCTGCTGGCCGCCCAGCGGCGAGCTCTGGGGTTTTGAGGATATGAAATAGGTGCTCTGGGACACCCAAAAGTAAGACCAGCGGTAGTGTAGATGAGACACTAATTTCTGGTGATTCCCAGGAATCGGGACATGAAACCTTAATGAAAGTGCGGGACTGAGAGATGAATGTTCGGACTAAGCAAACCTTAGCCCACTAGTATGACTGGAACACAGGGTGCAACACAGGACATGCCCGGCTTGGATTTGGCTCCAACTGGTTCACATTAAGCACAAAGTTGAGCCACAGAGTCTAAGGCAGAGGTCATGACAGGTGGACGGGGCTGCGGCAGGGTCTGGATACAGCTATCCTCTCCCTTGGCACAAATGTGGATTGGGAAAAGAGGTACCGGGCCGGGCCAGACACTAACACGTTCTGGTGCTCTGGAGTACCAGGGTGGATGTGGGGCGGACTAGGCTAGGTCCCAACCTCAACTTAGCCATGTACAAGCCATATGGGGGCATGGATGACCATGGCCAAGCTGCAACACTCTACAGCAAGAACCAGAACGGGATGATGGCCAGTTAGGAAAGACCACTGTTCCTACAAGGACAAGAGGCGAACTGGCACATGGACCCACTGACATGCGCGAAACCTGGCACATGGAGGGGTTCTGATGGAGGAGCCCAGGCAACTCCTCTGGCAAGACACAGACCCTGCAGGTCAGCACAAGGAACTTGCAAGGCAACAGCCAAGAGGTCATTGAAAGTGTCCCACTGGCATGCATTTGGCTTGGGTCGGGGGCAGACCAGGCTGAATCTGTTCATGTCATCCACTGGTAAATCTGACCGCCAGAACAGAATGTGGGTCGAACCAGGTCCGGTCGTAACAAAAGTAACACGCAGGCTGGAATGCCAAGGTGAGGTAGCCTGAGCCGGATGCAGCCGCAGCACCCAACCAACACAAGTGAGAACCAGGAAGGGAGGCGGCAGAGCTGACAGGAGAAAAAGGGGAGGCTCCCTAGCTGAACAGCAAGTTACACTGAGGAGCGGGAGCGGGGTGGGGGGTAGACTAGACCAGGCAGGGACACAGCGCCTGTGCACCTCATGGGGACCAGATTGGGTGATAACCAGGCTAGGCTGACCAATCCCATTGGAGTAAGCTACAACCAGAGTTGGTGAGGGTTGTCGGGCTTAGTTGTAGCAACAGAAGGGTAACGGGGACAGACTGGGCTAGTATGCCATATATACTGGCAAGCCAGGGTAGGAGGTGGGCCTGGTTGAGGCTACTGTGGGCCGCCCTGACTGGGCTGCAACTCCTACTAGTTCGTGCGAGGGACAAATGCGTCCAGGGTGGAACCAGGCGGGACTGTAAGAAGACACGGGTGGAGACAGAACCGGCCCAGCAACTGCAGCCGCCAGCTGTCCGGGGCAGTGGACTGAGACGGACCCTATGCTACTAAAACAGCAGGAATCTGGACTGGGAATACCTCAAAATTTCTTCGAGGATCTTCCCATTCGAGACACCGGACTCGGAGTCCTAACCAGGGAAAGACAGGACAAATCAAGCAACAACCTCAGCCATCTGATGGCAGCAGAGACTGGGCAAATGGAGACCCTAGACGGGACTGTGTCAATCAACGAACTCTTCAATGACCACATCATGATTGGGGTGGCGAGACAGGCAACGACCCATGGATAGTGAACTATTGGAACCACTTGATCGAGTATCTCGAAGCGCACCCCACTCCCGGGACTTGGGGTGGGCGGGAGATTGGGTGGGGCTTCTTCCTCTATATCCCCCTTTAGACCTTGACCCTTTTTTACCCCAATTAAATTTGTAAGGATTGTCAAAATTAAATAAAAAAAAAAAAAAAAAAAGGTGAAAAAAAACCATATAATTTTACTTTAAAGGCAAAGTGAGAGAAGGAAAGGGAGAAACAGGGAGAGATCTTGCACTCATTGTTTCATTCCCCAAAGATGAAAACAGCCAGGTCTGGTCTAGGCTGACACCAGGAACCATGACCTCCACCCTGGCCTTCCACATAGGCTGCAGGGATCCAAGAACTTGGGCCAACCTCTGCTGCTTCCCAGGAACACTGCAGGATGGTGGAAGGAAATAGAGCTGCTAGAATTTCAACTGACACTCCTACAGGGGACCAAACCACAACTGACTGTGCTACAATATCAGTCTTGGGACAAGTTTTTTTTTTTTTTTTTTTTTCCAAAAACTGTTCTATAGCAATAGTGACTCTAATAGCATTACTTAGTAAGCACAATGGATCAAATCTTAAAAGGTCAATTTTGGATGGCAGATTTGTCAAGTTTCAGGCAATATTCAGTATAAAACTATCCAAGGTCCATTTTAAAGGGACTGTAGGGCTTACTGATTCTGTACTTCTTGATACTTAAATATGGGACAGATTAAATATTAATGCAAATAAAATGACATCTACACACACTATAAAGACAACGTGAAAGTTAATTTTTTAAAGTAAATTGATCTTGCAGAATTGGTTAAGAATTGAGGAGGGTTTCAAGACTGCCTTTTCAAATACACTGCGTAACAAAAGATGCATTTCTCAAAAACGGATCATTTCTATGGCGTTAGTTTTCTCTATACTCATGTTTCTCAACAGTGGCACTACTGCCAAACTGGGTTGGACGTAATTCCATATTGCAGGGAACAGGAGAGTGCAAAGTAGGATGTCTAATAGCATCCTTGGTCCCCATCCACTGGATGTGGGTGGTACTCCTTACCCAGCTGTGAAAACCAAAAATGCCTACTGACATTGCCAAATACTTTGTGGGGGCAAAACAACCACCAGTTAGAATCCAAAGAGAGAAACAGTTTGACACACAATCTAATCCTTCTCTCTTGACCTGAAACAATATTGGAGCTGGAAGATAAATAGTGGCTACTTAGTGCTGGTCTTTGTGCATTCATCATCTTAATTCTGACCCGAACAACCTCAGAATATCATGTTAAACAACCAACACAGAGAACACAGCATAAATACCCAGAGTTCACAGCCATAACCTCAACAGTAACAGGAGGGAAATACTCCAAAGGCGAGGAACATGTATAAAAAGACAACAATTTTAAATAAAGGCCTGTTGAGCAAACTTGTGAACAGAAATGGTAATTACTTTTATCATCACCACACACTATGGAAATGTATACCTACTTTAGCCATACGTGATTTGTCATTTCCTTCTGAAATCAACATTGCTTGTGATTTACTGAAATCAAATAGCAATGTCCCTAAAAGGGCTCTACTACTGAAAGGTGGAAATGCTTCTGTGGACGAAGCACAGTATATTTTCCATTCTTATTAAAAACTACCCATTACCTTTGACAATGTGCTGAAGTCAGCAAATTCTTCTCCAAATGATTCATTTCCAAAAACAGAGGCAAAGGGGTCTGTGGCTAAAACAAAGAAAATCGTTGTAACAGGACAGAAAGATATTGAATTGCATGTCCTCTCTCAGTTGACACTATTCAGATAGATGCAAAATATTACAGAGTGCACATTGATAGTCCCTTTGTATAAATCAACTGATTTTATCTTAAAAATGAACTAATTTTCACTTTATTTGTAGGGAAGAGAAAGAAAAAGAGAGGTCTTCTACCTGCTACTTCTTCTTCCCAGATGCTGACAACAGGTAGTCAGGGGGAGGCCAAATCCAAAAGCCTGGACCTCAATGCAGATCTCCCACATTGTGGCAGGGCCCTGAGCACTCAAGCCATCGCCTGCTACCTCCAAGGGTGCACACCAGCAGGAAGCTGGATCAGCAACAGTGGAACTGAGACCTGAATCAGGCACTTCAATATGGCATGCAGGTGTCCTAAGCAGAATCTTTACTGAGCCAAACGCCAGCCTAGAGCTAGTCACTGATTTAATTCAATATTTATTCTTGATTTGATTCAGGACCAAAAAACAGTGAACTAACTTTAAGTGTGTAAGGCTCCTATGTGTGCAAGAGCTCTTATAAATTTAATTTATTTGTAATAAAGACATTAAAAGGTTAAAAAAAAAAGTTGGGGAGAGACAGCAGGTGTTTGACCTGACAATTAAGGCTGCAGATTGGGACGGACAGAAATACCTACAGGAATGTCTAGGTTTGAATCTTATCTTTGTTCCCAACTGTGGCTTCCTGTTAACATGCACCTGGGAGTTGTATATATATGTGATGGAATATTACTCAGTGGAAACAAATATGAGTTCTTGTGTTTTGCAACAAAATGGATGCAACTGGAGACCATCATGTTTATTAAAATAACCGAGTCCCCAAAGACAAATATCACAAGTTTTCTTTTGCTTGATTGTCTAATACAGAGTACCAAAAATATGTAGAGTATATCAGCAAAACTGTGACAACTTAAGATCTGATTATTGCTTACAGCTCTTACCTATATTTCTTACGAAAAAGTGATTTTTCTTTGAATTTTTTAAAGACTTATTTTACTTTTATCTGAAAGTCAGATTTTACAGAAATAAAGAGGGACAGAGAAAGAGATCTTGCAGTTACTGGTTTATTCCCCAGAAGGCCATTATGGCTGAGCTGGGCTGGTACAAAACAGGCAGTGAGGAGCTTTTTCTGGGTATCTTATTTGGGTGCAGGATCCCAAGACTTGGTTCATCCTCCACTGCTTTCCCAGGCCTTAAGCAGAAAGATGGACTGGAAGTGGAGCAGCTTGGATACAACCAGCACCCATTTTGGATGCTGGCATTTACAAGTTGAGGCTTAGTCTGCTAAGCTGCCATGTCAGCCCCTGAAGAGTGATTTTTCTACTTACTACTTGTTCAATTCTTCATTTAGAAGAGTTAAGCTTGTAATTATAAAGAAAATTGAAAGTATGTTATTGTGACCAGATGCACATAGTTTTGGCTGGTGGGAGGGAGTGCAGCCTAGCCTCCCAAATCGGGAATTTCACCCCACCAGCTGCTTAAAAGTGACTGGCACCATGCTGGATTGGGCTGGGTACGCAAATGGGAGCTTCTACCCCACGAGCTGCACATAGCTTCGGCTGGTGGGAGGGAGTGCAGCGTAACTTCCTGACTCAGAAATCCTACCAAGCCAGCTGGTTAAATCTTGGGTCAGTTGGCCAGGGCAACAATGACACCGGACAAAGCCTTCTGGCCACCTAGTGAGGAGCTCTGGGAACTTGGGGTGTGGGCCTATAAGGGGCCTTGTGGTTGGCATAGGTGGGTGCACCTATGGACAAGAGGTGGACAAAGTCTACATGGGCCAAGGATCCACCAGTGTGTGCAACATCTACCAGTGGGAGGAGATCTGATAGAGGAGCTTGGGAAATTCCTTTGTCAGGACACAATCCTTGAAGATGAGCGCAAGAACTAAGGCAAGGAGCAGCCCAGACCAGGCCAGGTTACCACTGGCATACATGTGGGTCAGGCAGAATCAGTTCATAACATCCACTGGCAGTTCTAAGAACCAGGACAAGATGCAGGAGTGGCTGGGTTGTGCTACAACACCAGCCAGTTCACATATGGGCCAGGATTGGGGGCTGGCAGGCTGGGCTGCAGAATCTACCAGCACAAGCTGGAACTGGGACAGGCTCGATTGAGCCAGGCTGAAGCACTCAGGATGCTAAGGTGAGGTGAGCCATGACAGTTAGGGGAAGGTGGGTGCTGAGTCTGTGAGCCCCAGGGGTGGGAAGTTTGGCAGGGTCCAGGTTGCCTGGCCCAGGTCCTTGCCCCACCTGCAAGAAGGGTGCCGGGTCTGTGAGCCCTGGGGCCTGTGAGCCCTGGGGCCAGCGAGTCCAGTTGCCTGGTTAGAGCCCTTGGCCACCTGTGAGTACTGGTCCTCCTCAGTGGAAAAGATGGAGTAGTAGACAGCTGGCCCAGACCCAGTTAGAGGATATGGCAGCCCAGTGAGGCCTGTAGGGGATATCTATACCATCCCAGAAGGAGGGCAGAACAAATTGGACAACTACCCCAGCCAAACAATGACAACAATTATCTGGGCGAATGAGACTCTAAGGTTGACTATGTCAGCCAATGGACATTGAAAGGGTTCCCTCATCCTTGGATTGGCAAGATCAACAACATTTCAGAACTATCAAAACCACCTGGGTAGAACCCTGGGTCAACACTGAGTGGCTATTCTCTATCTGTGGGTACTGGAGCGGTTGGGAGGCTAGGTATGGCTTACCCTTTAGCCCTCCTTGCCCCATCCCCAAAACAAGGAGAAACATGAAATTTTGAAACAATGATCACACTTTCCCTACCCTTGATCCATCCCACTTTGATCAACTATGTTAAAATCATCCAAAATTTAAAAAAAAATTAAAAAAAAAAGAAAATATGTCATTGTAAAACTTAAAAGAAAGTAAGACAGAGGGAGAGTTGGGTGAGAATATCTTATACTCTTTAAAAAATATACACAAAATACATAAAATTTGTTACATTTCTGTACATTAAAGACTTCTTAAAAATACAATTATATTAGATATATTTGTCACAAATTCAAGTGAAAATGCCAAACAGTTGGATGTAAGGTTGGAGCTTAGGAAAGAGATGTGGCTAGAGACGAGATGTAAATCAGTGTATAAATAGTATTTGAAGCTATTAACGCTCATGAACATACATAAAGGAGTACAGAGAAGAGGTCCAGGAACAACTACATAGTATACCACCACATACAGATGTTTGAAGGGAAGAAGAGCAAGCATTAGAACAGACTGAGCAAGAATGACCTGAAGAGGCAGGTGAAAAACTAGACTTCATTTGAAAGTGATCCATTTCTTACTACACCTTTAATCCTGTGAAAACTGCTTCGTCTCTTCATACCTTGGTTTTGTCTGCATTATAAACAATATCAATCATCACATTTAGTTGTGAGAATTAAATGAAACCAAGTTTGGGAATGTGGTTAACACACTGACTGTTGGGACTTTCTAGGTGCTAATCAATAGTAGCTACAAAAAATCTTAGCTCCCCCTTAGGCTGTTACAGTCTTTTATTCTACTGCTTAACAGGAAATGTACTATAAACTAGAATTTGAAAAGACCAACAAAGGCATTAGCAACCTTTTACACAATCTACCCCTTCAGCTTAAGCCTGAATACGTCTTTACCTATAAAGCAGCCCTTGTCAGATGTCTGTTGGATTTTCCTTGAATATGTCCTAAATCCATCATGCCTCCACCTTTGTCATGTTGATCTTATTGCTTCCCATATTTACTGGTGAAAGTCATAGACTATTTGTTGAAGGCATATCACAAAAGCCATGTCCTGCATTGAAATTAGCACCATTTACCCTTCCCCTTTAAAAAGGATCTCCTCTTCCTTTTAAAAGATTATGTAGCAGAGGCTGAGAGGCTGAGAGAGAGGGCCAGAGGGGGAGGGAGAGTGAGAACGGGGAGGGAAAGTGAGAACAGAGAGGGAAGGAGAGAGAGAGAGAGACAGAGACAGATAGTATGAGAACAAGTACTAGATCCCATCTGCTGATTCACTTCCCAAATGCCTGTAAATTGCCAGGGGCTGAAGCTGGGTGCCAAGGATTCAGCAACTTGAGTCAGCATGGTTGCCTGCATGAACAGGAAGCTGAAATCAGGAACTGGATTCAAACCTTGGCACAACTACATAGCTTAGCCCGGATCCTAACAGGCGCCTTAACTGCCTGGTCCTTACTGGTCTTTTTCATAATTCTTAGTGTGACACAATCAGTCAATCTGCATAGTAAACAACTCGTTTACATTTTATATTCATCTGGAAAAATAAAGGACTTTTTGTCAGAATAATATTTAAGTACTTCATATTTGAGCTTTCCTCTTATTTCTTACTCTCCCACATAGTAACTGGGATGTTTGTAAATGAATAATGGGAAAAAAGCATTTATTGAAAAAACATTTTGATTCCATCTGAGCTGGATTTGAATCTTGGCTTTTCTTGGTTCAAATCCAGTAAAATACATAATCTTGAGTAAGTTAATTCATGTTCTGGTCCTCAGTTTCTTTATGTTTAAAATGGCAATATTACTTAAAGAACAAATAAAAAGTAAGAGATCATATCAAGCCTGAAGACCATGTCCTAGCATTTAGCTTTTTCTCTGCACTAGTAATGGAATTTGTAAAGCAAATATTACACTAATCGGTTTAATTCAGGCCAAGATTCCGAACAGTCAATGCTGACACTGAAGCTGTCAGGCATACTATCTTCTGTAAAGCAAAGACTTTTATTGGTTTCATTGATAATGAGCAGAGTACATACTGTAGTAAGATCTTTAACATGAATAAGATAATGAAGAAAGTGACACATAAATGCTTGTCACTATTAGTGACAGATAAAATTAGATGTAATTATTCAATCATTTAAAAGGCATAATTCAGAGCAAATATATTTGAAGACAGAAAATAACAGAAGCTGAAAGAAAAAAAGGTAATGTTTAACACTCAATGAAACTGGGTTTGTTCTTTACCTGAATCACTTGCTGCCACAACAACCGTTCCACCAGGAGCAAAAGGATCATTATGCTTCAGTGTTTCTACCTGAACAAGTCACAAAAATCTGTTACTCAGAGAAGCAACATTTCTTTTTCTGTTGTTTAAACATTTCTTTATACAAGGAGCAGAGATTTAGACAGCGGGAGAAAGATAGAGACAAGAGAGATCCATCCCCAAACGGGTCTGAAAGGCCAGGGTTGGGCCAGGACTGCAGCCAGGAGCCAGGAGCTTCATAAGGGTCTCCCACATGGGTGGCAGGTGCCAACAACTTGGGCATCTTCTGCTACTTTTCCAGGCACATCAGCAAGGATCTGTATCAGAAGTGGAGCAGTTGGGACATAAACCAGTGCCTATATGTGACGCTAGCAGCACAGAGAGAAACTTAAATTGCTATGCCACAGTATTGGTCACAGTTAACACCTTTTTATCACTGAAAAAGAAAAAACTTCCCTAAAACTTTTAGAAACCGGAATATTGAGAATAACTGTTTCCTTACTGATTTGCAATCCTAATAAACAGAATGACATGTGTTATTTTCAACCTTTTTTATTGTTAAATATAACGTCTATCCAGAAAAGTACATGAAACATACATACAGATTAACAAGGACCACGTTATCATACAGATGAACAGGAACACCTGTGTTATCATTTTCCAGGGAACTCCCCACACCTCAGAAGCCTTCATGTGCCCCTTCCAATCACAATCCCATGATCCTTTACGAGGAAATAGTTATCCTGCCTTAGGAGCATTCAATTCTGTTTTCTTCTTAATTTTGCAATGTATAAATAATAGATGGAAAAACTACTTTATTTTGAAATAATTCAGATATACACAGAGCTTCCACTCATCCTTTGCCAAGGATCTTCTGTTAGTGCCTCATGTAACCATAACACATTTACTATAACTACGTAATGAAGGGCTGGCACTGTGGTATAGCACATTAAGCCACCATTCCCAATGTCAGCACCCTGTGACAGAGTATCACTTTAAGTCCCAGCTGCTCTACTTCTGTGCCAGTTCTACCAGAAGATGGCCCAAACACTGGGGCACCTGCCACTCTTGTGACAATCTGGTTCCTCTTTTCGGCTTATCCCTTCTCCTCAGCCCAGTCCCAGCCACTGAAGCCATCTGGAAAATGAACCTGTTTCTGCATTTCTTTTTTCTGTCACCGTCTTTCAAATAACATAAGTAATTTTAAAAAATCCTACAGAATGAAGATCAGTATAAAACTGTAAACTACCAACTTCATTTGAATTACACTAGTTTTTTGTTATTGTCCTTTTTTTTAAAAAAAAAATTTTTAGTTTTATTATTGGAAAGTCAGATATTCAGAGAGATGACAGAGAGGACAATCTTCCGTTTGATGATTCACTACTCAAGTGTCCACAACGGCCAGAGCTGAGCTGATCTGAGGCCAGAGCCAGGAGGTTCCTCCAGGTCTCCCACATAGGTGCAGGGTCCCAAGGCTTTGGGCTGTCCTTGACTGTTTTCCCAGGCCACAAGCAGGGAGCTGGATGGGAAGTGGGGCGTTGGCACACAAACCTCTGTCCATATGGGATTCTGGTGCATGTAAGGTGAGGACTTTAGCCACTAGACTACTGTGCTGGACTTGTTACTGTCCTTTTTAAATGAATTCACCACTGTTCTTGATTGTCTTTATTTACCTACAACTAATTGATAAGCATGAGAACTAGAGCTGGGGGCATCAATGGCACCCATCGGCATATGTGAAGGCTGGGTCTGGAGGTGGGGCAGAGTGAACTAAACTGTAGCACCTATGGGAAGTGCACGAGAGCCAGATGGGCTGTGGGTTGGGAGTGGGTCTGGTGAGGGTTATTGAGTGTCGCCAACTAGGCTGAAGCACCCACTGGTAAGCATGAGGAACTGGTCTGTGGCAGGCTGGCTCACATAATGGACTGAATCTGACTCTGACTCTGCATTGGTTGGTGCACACAAGTCTGAGGTCACAACAGATGAGCATTCTTGGGGGACTCCTCAATAGGCTGCTGGACTCAGACCCTGGCCACAGTGAAAATCACAGGATGTGCAATCCAACCTTGGAATTCACGTATTGGGAATGGAGATGCACATGGGGGACATGACACCCAGCTCATTTAAACCAGCAAGGAATGTGGAGTACCTCATCAGAGGATGGAAAGCAGAGCAGGTTGGACAACTCTCTTGGCCATGTTTTGCAGCATGTGTCAGGATCTGCGGATGCACTAAGGTGGACTTTGCCAACCGATAGATCTTGGAAAGATTTTTTCTACAATGGAGCAGTGAAACTAACTTCTCAGAACTATCAAAACCACTCAAGTTAACACCCTTGGAACTCTTCCCCACACTGGGGTCTCTAAGGCACGGTGCCCTAGTGGCTAAAGTCCTCGCCTTGAACGCACCAGGATCCCATATGGGCACTGGTTCTAATCCTGGCAGCCCCACTTCCCATCCAGCTCCCTGCTTGTGGCCTGGAAAAGCAGTCGAGGATGGCCCATAGCCTTGGGACCCTGCACCCGTGCGGGAGACCTGGAGAAAGTTCCTGGATCCTGGCCTCAGATCAGCTCAGCTCTGGCCATTGTGGTCACTTGGGGAGTGAATCATTGGATGCAAGATCTTCCTCTCTATCTCTCCTCCTCTCTGTATATCTGACTTTGCAATAAAAATAATAAATACATCTTTTAAAATTTTAAAAAATTTATTTTAATCTGAAAGGTAGAGTTACAAAGAGGGAAGAAGTGAAAGAAAATGTTCCATCTACCGCTTCATTCTCCAAATGACAGCAACAGCCAGATCTGAGCAAGGCTGAAGCCAGGACCAGGAGTTTCTTCTCGGTCTCACAAGTGGGTACAGGTGCCCAAGCACTTGGGTCATCTTCTGTTGCTTTCCAAGGCACATTAGCACTGGTCCCTATTCTCTTACTTTTAAAAAATATACAATTTATTTATTTATTTGAGAGGCAGAGAGAAAAAAGCTAGCTCCTATCTATAGGTTCATATCCTAAATGTTTGCAAAAGCCTCCCACATAGAAATTCCGTATAGGTCTCCCTCATGGTTGGTAGGAACCCGATCACTTATACCACCACCACTGCCTCCAAAGGGGTACTTGGACTCTGATAAGGGCATTTTAGCTTCTGGACCAAACTATTACCTCAGATGTTATGTTTTTATTCCAGGATATTATGTCACCTTTAGGATGTATACTGTTCTATTAAATATTTCAATATTTACTATTAGGACATTTTAACACTTCCAGTTTCAAACTGCTGTGTTAAAAATATCAAATTGTAGCATTCTGCATTGTAGAGCACACAGAGAGAGAGAGAAACTCCTTGAATAGATACTGCTGTATTCAGTAACAACCAACAATAAGCAATTTTGAAGCCTGGGATCAAGTGCAAAACTAAGTGGCTATAATAGGTCAGTACTTTACCTGAAGCCATAGATTTTTTTTTTAAACTAGTGAACTGTCCTTCTATTTTGTAGTTTAGCTTCTACTTTTTTTTTTAAAAAATACTTATTTGAAAGGCAGAATTATAGAGAAAGAGGGACAAAGACGTCTTCTATCTTCTGGTTCACTCCCCAAATGGCTGTGATGATCAGGGCTGAATCAAGCCAAAACCAGAAACCAGGAGCTTCATCAGGATCTCCCACGTGGGTGCAGGGGTACAAGTACTTGGGTCATTTTACAGCTCCTTCCGCAGGTACATTAGCAGGGAGTAGGATTGAAAGTGGAGTAGCCAGGTCTTGAACCAGTGACCATTTGGGATGCCAGTATTGCTGGTAGCAGCTTTATGAGCTATACCACAACACTGGCCTCTATAGTTTAGCTTTTTAAATTTTATTTTATTTGAAAAGCACAGAGACAGAGATTGTCCATCTGCTGGTTCACTCACTGAATGCCCATAATACCTGAAACTGGGTTAGGTCAAAGCCTAGAAATCAACCTAGGTTTACCACATATGTGACAGGGAACTCAAGTTCTTGAGCCACCAACACCTGCTGCAGCCTCGTGTGCATTAGCAGGGAGCTGCAATTGCAGGTAGAGCCAGGACCTTCAACTCAGGTATTCTGCTATGGGATGCAGCAGGCCTAAACAGCACCTTAACCACTGCTCCAAATACCACCTTCTAATTTTCATTTGTAATCACAAACAAATTGTGTATTTAGGAAGATAAAGTAAATTTCTCTTTCTGGCACTATCCTCTTCTGAAGGGGGCCTGTTAAAAGAGTGAAAAGAATTTGTAAACACCCATACCCAACTTTGATTCCTGGTTATCAATAATGTACTCATAATAAGATCTATTTTCAATTAAGAAGGTAGATATTACAACTGAAATGCCAAATATACAGGGCTGGCATATTAAAACGCTTCCTTCAATGCTGGCATCCCTTATCAACACCAGATCGAATGTGCTGCTTTACTTCTGATCCAGCTCTCTGCTAATGTGCCTGGGAAGGCAGCAGAAAATGGCTGGAGTGCTAGGGATGCTGTCACACACTTGGGAGACCTGGATGAAGCATCTGGCTTTGGTCTGGCCCGTCCCTGATCAATGTGGCCATTTGGGAAGTGATTCAGCAGATAGAAGCTTGCTCTCCCTTTAACTCTGACTTTCCCAAAATTTAAAAAAAGCTTAAAAAATTATATCTACTGGAAAGGAAAGACATGTTTTCAAGTAGTAGAAAAAGACTTCTAAGATATATGGAAGCATATTCAGTAATTGCCAACCTAAAGTCTCACTTACTTTATTTGTAAGTAGCATAACAAAATGAACTTCATAGCATTATTGTGAAAATCAAATGAAGTCATATACAGAGTTAAGCACCATTCCTGGCCCACAGAAAAACATTACATATACACTGAAGCTGTTACACTGCGAATTTTTTTGCTGTTATTTTTAATGGAAATATTACAAGTTGCAAGTAAGAGCTTGTAATTCCTGTCAAAAATTAGGGAAGAGACCAGTATTGCGGCATAGGTTTGACTAAACCCATGATGCTGGCATCCCACGCTGGAGTGCCAGTTCAAGTCACAGCTATACCTTCTACATCCCGAGAAAGCACTGGAAGAAGGCCCACATTCCTGGGTCCCTGAAACCACTAGGGGAGAGCCATATGGAATTTCTTCTGGGTTTGTCTTGGCCCAGTTCTAGCCCTTGTAGCCATTTGGGGTGGGACTCAGTGATTGAAAGGCTTCTCTCCTTGTCTTTCCCTCTGCCACTGTGCCTTTCAAGTAAGAAAAAAATAATTAAGAAAAAAAAAAAAAAAGAAGAAGAAAGAAGACAATGTAGGTATGATAAATGGTAGAAAAAATTCACCAGAAGTTGACATCTGGCACAGTGACTGAGATGCCATCTGGCATGCCAGCATCTCACATTAATGTATGTGAATTTGGTCCTGCTCTACTCTAGATTCCAGCTTCCTGTCAGTCTGCACCCTGGGAGACGGCAGGTGATGGCTCATGTGGCTAGGTGTCTGCCTGTACATGTTTGAGACTGACATAGTCTCTGGCTTGGTCCAGCCCTGGCTGTTACAGGTATCTGGTGGTGGTGGTGGTAGGGTGAATCAGTGGATGGAAGACCTCTCTACCTTTCAGGTAAATAAATTACATAAAAGAATCTTACCCAGAGGAAGAACAGAAGGAATGTGCTATTTTTAAATTAGTAAGAGTTGATTTGACTTCCTCGTTCTTAAAATGAAAAGAATGGAGAACAAGAGGCTAGGCTAAGAAGGTGAGAAAAAAAAAAAAACCAAACAGGCTGTAGCCAACTTTAGAAAAATTTGGCAAATGCGCCCACATTGCACCCTAAGTGTTGTAGGAAAAAAGAGTATCCTGTGGCCTGTGGAAACCACAAATACTCACTTACAGAGGTACTTGTGTCTAGCTTTGCATCAATGGAAAATACCAGGTGATAGGCAAGTAGCTCTTTACCGAATACAGTAAGGGAGAAATTCTACAATACTGAGGCAGAATCAACTACTCTTTTAAGGAAGTTTTCTTAAAACATTTAAAAAAATATTTAATGTGAGCATCAGAGACAGAGAGAGTGCTCCCTTGTTGCTGGTTTATCATATGAAAGCTTGCTATATTCAGGGCTGGGTTAGAATGGAAATGAGAGGCCAGGAACTCAATCCAGGTCCCAACCTACCTGAGCCATTACCTGCTGCCTACTAGGCTGCACACTAGCAAGAGACTGATCAAGAATGGAGCCAGGGCTCGAACCCAGGCTATTATGTAGGCATCCTAAGTGGCATCTCAACCACTATATTAAAGGCCCACCCCTAAGAAAGTATTCTTAATTGCAAAGTATTAGAAGATGAGATTGTTTTCTCCAAATGCCTGTCAATCAACTACCCCTTTCTGAGTCTAATTTATAGATCTGAATCTGCTACTGCAAAAACAAAAGACTCCACAAAAATTAAAAACCCTTCTCAACCCATTTGTTTGTTTGTAGAGATTTCATATACACATATATATATATTTGAAAGATTTATTTATTTTTATTGGAAAGGCAGATGAGAGAGGAGAGGAGAGGAGAGGAGGAGAGACAGAGAGGAAGATCTTCCGTCCGATGATTCACTCCCCAAGTGGCTGCAATAGATAAACCCTAAGCTGATCTGAAGCTAGGAGCCAGGAGCTTTTTCCAAATCTCCTACATGGGTACAGGTTCCCAAGGCTTTGGGCTGTACTCGACTGCTTTCCCAGGCCACAAGCAGGAAGCTGGATGGGAAGTGGAGCAGCCAGGATATTAAATGCTGCACATATGGGATTCTGGTGGATGCAAAGTGAGGATTTAGCCACTAGGCTATAGCACTGAGTGCTCTCAAACCATTTGTCTCTCCTGAAATTGGGAGATAGATACTTGAGGTTTGTTAAAACATTTAATTATGCTATTTTAAAATATTCAACATATAAAATTTTTTTTCAAGCCTCCAAGGTGGCAAAGTATTAATTATATGATCCTGGGCATGTTAATTTTTCTTAATTCCAGTGACAATATTCCTCTCAAAAGTTAATTAATTAATTTGAGAGTTGGACAGAGGAAAAGGAACACAAAGAGCAACTATCTGTTGCTTCACTCTCTGATTCCTGTCACATCTGCAGCACGGAACCAGGAAGACAGTCCCCATCTCCCATGTCGGTAGCAGAGACTCAACTGCTTGAGCCACACTGCTGCGTCAGCAGGAAGAGGAAATCAGGTGCCAACACTGAAGGCTGAATCTAGGTACTTCAATATGGGAGGCGAGAATCCATGGCCCTTGGACCCCCTCTTCTCTATTCCTATCTTTACATATATGTAAGATTGGATTTATTTATCTGAAAGGTAGGATGACAGAGAGACCTTCTATCTACTGGTTCATTCTGAAATGCTCACAATAGTTAAGCCAAAGCCAAGATCCAGGAACGCCCCCATTGAGGATTCCACATGAGCGGCAAGGACCCAAGTACCTGAGTCATCTCTCACCGCCTTTCTGGGCACATCAGTACAATACTGGATTGGAGGTGCAGGAGCCAGGACCCATACTGGCATTGTGATAAGGAATGCATGGATCTTAAGCAACAGTCCCACCTGCTATATTATAATGCTCACCATTCTAGTGTCATTATTTTAAAAGTAAGAACACTAAGATCTACTCTGCAAAGCTGTCGTGAAGAAAAAATATGAGCATAAATCACACAGAAGCATGCAATCATACATAATATGTGGTTAATAAACATAATAGGAGTAAATCTATATCCTTAGTCAAGGATATAGATTCTGAATACAGCATGAGATTTAGTTGGAATTTGTACTTTCTAACAAAATTAACATTCCAAAAGAATATACAAAAAAATTTTTATTTTTCTAGAACATCCATGCTGTTTAACTCATTCATTCAAAAAGTAGAGCAATAGAGACAGAAGAAGAGAGGGAAGGACGAAGAGGGAGGAAGAAGAGAGAGCTTGCAACCACTGACTGATTTCCGGAATGACTACAGAAGCAAGGGCTGTGTCAAGCCAACACCGGGAGTCCAGAACTCCATCCACGTCTCTCATATGGTTTGAAAGGACAGGAGTTCTTGAATCTCATCTACTGCTTTCCATGTGCACTAGCAGGGTCCTGGATTGGAAATGGAACAGCCGTAACTGGAACTGGCACTTTAAAGTAGAACAGGGACATCCAAAGAGGGAGCTTAACCCATGGCACCATAACACAAGCTCCACAATGTTAAAGTTATTTTAGTAATTTCAATAAAATACCAAACATTTCTGAAAAGATTTACTTAAGATTGGCTTAAGGTTTTTAAGCATTTATTTTAATATTCTCAATGTGTTCTCTGAAGAATATTCTTAACTTTTCTACAAAATAATTTACTCTAGTCAATTCCAAAGGTGGGGAGCAAACTATGAAATATCAGTCTGAAGCAAAACGAATGCCAGTAGAAATAATCTAAATGAAGATTTTGTCATGTATGGCTCAAGAAACTCATTTAGGACACTTGTTACACATTTAATGTGATACTTACTGAAGTGTTACTGCTGCTGCTGGCTGCACTGAAAGGGTCAGTACTTGAAGTGGCAAAAGGATCAGCAGAAGATTGCTTGAAGAAGCAGTCTGACGCAAATGGATCGGAACCTCTGAAGGGATCACCACCAAATGGATCTAAGAAAACAAAGCACAAACACAAGACACCAAAAAACATCACTATACTAAGCGTCCTGTCACCTGAAGGCATGATCACTGCCGTAATTAAGACATTTTTGGGACTGGCATTGTGACACAGAATGTTAAGCCACTGCTTGTAATACTGACATCCCCAGTCGAAGGGTTGGTTCAAATCCTGACTGCTTTACTTCTTATCCAGCACCTTGCTGATTTGCAGCGCAGGATGGCCCCGAGGTCTGGACCCTCACCACCCGTGCGGGAGACCCAGGCAGAGCTCCAGACTCCGGCCTCAGCCTGGCCCAGCCCTGTGTCTACCTGGGGAGTGAACCAGTGACTGGAAGAGCGCTTTCTCTCCATGTCTCCCCCCTCAATCCCTATTATTCTGCCTTTCAAATGAAAAAGAGAAAGAAATCAATCTTTTACAAAGTCTGGCAAGGCAAAAAATAAATAAAAGCTATTTTGAACTTCTGAAGATCTAAGTTAGATATATTCTAATTCAGATCACTTAGGATTTTGGTAAGAGGTAACAGCCTTTCACCCGAGACACGTATTATTTTCTAAAATGGCATGTTAATGTTAAGTGATTTTTTTTGGGAAAAAAAAATGACTTGTCTGAGTGCAGACAAGCAGTCGGAGACCTTGTTTCTGCTGGTTCAATCCTCAAATACACACAAATACCTCAGGCTGGGCCAGGCTGAAGCCAGGAGCCTGGAACTCGGTCTGTCTCCCATACGAATGACAAGAACTTAAGTACCTGAGTCAGCACCTGCTATCTGCCAGGACAGCAGCAGGAAGCTGGAATCAGAAGTAGAGCAGGATGGAACTCAAAATGAGGCACTCTAATATATGATGAGGACATCCCGAGTGGTGTATTAACCACTAAGCCACATACCTTGTCCTGCCACCTAATTCTAAGTCTCCCTTTCCTACGTCATCAAAACTGAATAACAAAAATGCTAACAGCCTCCTACTGGGGCTACAGGTCAATTTCAAAACTAAATTAAAAAACAAAGCCTATTTTCTAACTACCCAGCTTGAGACCTCTCATTCCTAAATATAATATAAACTTACATTAACCAGAATTGAATTAGGACAAGATACAACTCAGTAATATACTAACCAATTTTTCCAAAAGGATCATCTTTGAAAGGATCACCTGTGATAAAACAAACAAAAATCAAAATAACAGTTGTTGTTGTGCCATTACTTGAAGGATAACTTTACTACAAAAGTAAAATTTCTTAAAGTTTGTTTTTAATGATCGTACTTCAAAGCACAAAAAGTTACTGGAAATATTTAACAAGAATAAAGAAAAGGGACAGAACTCAATACATCTTTTGAAAGAGAAAATCTGAAATTCAGAATCAACTATACCTACCTTATCCCAAGTGGAAATTATGATGGAGGGGAACACAGGCAGGCATAGAAAAAATTTCAGCAACAAAAGCTCTACTTTCATGACAATACTGGTTGGGTATTGCTATCACCACTTCAGCTTCACTGAAGCAAAAAAAGCAAACAACAACAACAAAACTTACAGAACTAAGAATCCTGAAATAAACCCTTGTATTTATGGTCACTTGATTTTTGACAGGAGTACTAAGAATACACAGTGAGAAAAGGACAGTCCTTTCAAGAATTAATTTAATTCATTTACCAAACAAAGAGATTTTCAACCTACTGGATCACCCTCCAAATGTTCACAACAGCCAGAGCTGGGCCAGCCTAAAGCCAGGATCCTGGAAATCAATCTAGGTCTCCCATGGACTTAACGGATCAAAGCACTTGGGCCATTTCCATTGCTTTCCAGGGTGTGTATTAGTCAAAAACTGCAATCAGTACTAGTGCTGGAATTTGAACCCAGGCATTCTGATATGGGATGCTGGAATCACAATTAGCATCCTATCCACTGCACCAAACACCTATCCCATGATAGTCATTTCAACGTGACACGTGAAAGTAGTTGGCTCCCTCATTACCATACATCATACATAAAAATAAAGCAAAAGTGGAGGAAAAATCTAAATACAACAGTATCACCATAACATTCTTAAAGTAAAACATAGGAGTAAATTTTAGTAACTTTGAACTAGGTAATGGTTACTTAGCTGAGATAAAAAGCACTACTAATAAAAGGAAGACATAAACTGAACTGCACCAGAATTAAGTTTCATATTTCATAGCAAACTGTCATCAACAAGAAAGCTAACAAAATACCCACAAAATCATGTACTTCATAAGGGAATCAAATTCAGAAAATACAGAGTTCTTCCCAGGTATTGTGGCCATCTAGGGAGCGAATCAGTAGGTATTAGATTATCTCTATTTCTCCTTCTCTTTTTGTTACTCAGCCTTTCAATAATAAACAAATAGGCAGAAGAATAAGAATGCTCATTTTCCAAAGGACATATACACCAATAAACAACATTAAGGACTAGACAAATACATATAAAATATAATGAGTTGTCATGTTATACTCACTGGGATGCCTACAATCAAAATGATAGATACTATCAAACGTTGGGGAAGATACTAAAAAAACACAGCCAAAGTACATGGCTGGTGAGGATGTAAAGTATTTGAGGTTCTTTGAAAAACAGTCTGACCATTTCTCAACCAATTAAACACAATTATCATTTGAAGTTACCTAGAAAATGATCTGAGATACAACCAGGAGAAATGCAAACATAAGTCCACATAAATCTTTTGTGCAAAATGTTTACAAGCAGCTTATTCACAAATGGAAATAATTCAAATGTCTATCAACAAATAAATAAAATGTGATCAATGGAATATTATTCATCAATTAAAAGGAACAAAACATTGAAACACATGAGGTACTTCAAAAGAACTGTGGGAAATGGGAAAAAAGTAGATTTAATTAGGCGAGAAAAATTTCTTGAGAAAACATTTGGCATGGCAGTTAAATGGTGCTTGGGACATCTTTCTTTTTTTCACCCTTTCGATTGTTGGCCATTTAAATTAAAAAATTCAATCGACATAGTTTGTTCATAATACGTATTTTTTATGAACTTTCAGAAAAACCTCTTCTATGCCCGGATTTTACTTTTCTGCATCAAAACAAAATTCTATTTCCCACAAACTTTTTGAAGTACCCTTGTGCTATAACATAAGTGAACTTTGAAAATAATAAGTTATAGAAGACAAACATAATACAAGATATGTAACTCCACACATAGGTAGTCAGAAAATATATTAGTGATTGCCTAATAGGGGAAGGGAAGTGAGTACTACTGGGTATAGTTTCAAAGGAAAAGTATTCCAGAATGGAAATGTGCTAATGATCCTAAAATTGCAAATACACGGAAACTATTAAACTGTGTACTTTAAATGGACAACTTAATCTTTTAATACTTTAGCAGCTTTTTAAAAACAAGAATTCTACATCTAGGGTCATTTCTTTCACAAAACTATGCAAGGAACTTTGCCACTTTAAAACAGCTATAAATTGTTTTCACAAGCTGCTTTCGTACATGAGAAGAACGTATTAACATGGTTTACAGTGGTATTAGACAAGTGAATTTGTCAACCTTACGTTTCATCAGTTAATTTATAAGCACCAGATGGCAAGGGATCAGACTTCTAACTCTGTCACAGTTCCCTCTGTTTCAAAATCACAATATTGGCATTTAAACGTAATTACTGGTGATGGAAGAGTACCTAGTCTCATTAGTGGTCTAGAGTAGGTTTTCCCTTTGGTTCCTATTCTGAAGAAGAAACTCTTAAATAAGGCCTCCACACCTGACCTTAGCCAAAAGGCCAAGAAGCGGCAAATCAGGAATCCTAAGGAATAATCAAAGGCTTTATCACAGGATTTAGTTGCCTGTGGAAGATAAATACTAGTAAAGCTAAGCACATAAACCTTAACTCTCACTTCTACTCTTGTTGTGAACAAATATGTTCTCAAAGCTGAAAACAGTTCTTGAGAGCCTGTTTGGAGGTTCTAGCATGGCAGCGCAGCTATTTGTATGCCCTTGGCCGAAGACCGCTCTTCCTCTAGCGGGGATGGTCGTCCTCTTAGACCGAGTGCACAGCTTTGGGAAGGACGCACATGGAGCGGTGAGGGAGGAAGGAGACACCCGCCTAGCCAGCCAGATCAGCCGAATCAACCCTGGCGATCAATGGGGTGACAGATGTCGCAGCCAGATAGCCCTCACATCCTGAAAACCTAGTTCTTACACAGCTTGTTAGAGTCTAAATTTAGGGGCCGGTGTGGTGGTATAGCACTCTAAGGCTCTGCCTGTGGTGCTGGCATCCCACAAGGACACCAATTTGAGTCCCAGCTGCTCTACTTCCAAGCCAGTTCCCCACTTATGGTCTGGGAAGGTGGCAGGGGATGGTTCAGGTCCTTGGGCCCCTGATCCCACGTGGGAGACTCAGAAGAAGCTCCTGGCCTCTGGCTTTGAATTGGCTCAGCTCTGGCAGGTGTAGGAATTTGGGGAGTGAACCAGCATATAGAAGATCTCTGTCTCTTCTCTCTAATTCTGCCTTTCCAACATAAATAAAATAAAAATCTAAAAAAAAAGGCCTGTTTTGGTAAGTCTATAATATTAAAAAAAAAAAAAAGAGTACTTACTTCCAACAAAAGGATCAGACTGGAAAAAATCCAAGTTTGTATCTGCAACAGGATCTGCCATTGAATTTGATTCTGCATTAAATGGATCTTCCTAAAAATAATTTTAAATTAAAATATTTAGAAATAAAAGTTTTAAAAGGTAACATTTAAAAATAATATGCAGTTTGGATCAGATACATGCTTGAAAAAGTAACAAATATTTCTGTTGTCTTAAAGAACATATAAAACATTTCTCCCTCTTCTTAGTCTAAACAGTGCAAAATCCATGCAGGGTAATTAGTGACAAGAACATTTAAGCATAAAATCATTTTTACCTCTTTTGAATGTGTGTCAGCCTCAAGCTCAGGACACACTTTCGCAGTAACAGCTACAACCACTGCTTCATTTTCATCAGTCACACCAGAAGGTGGTATTTCAGGACTACTTCTTGCCTACAAAATATTAATGCTACATGGACTAACAAAGTCTTTTTGTAGACAGAGAAAACTGACAAAAGTAACAAAGATGATTTAAAAAGAAAAGCAGAATACATTCATCAAAACGATTTCTTCTGCTAGAACCCTTCTTAGGAAAATTGCCACCAAGCAAGAACATGACTCAAGCCAGAAACCTTCACGCCATCTTTAACCACTTCCCTTTTGGTCATTGTGACATTATGAAATGGCTTTGGTCTTGTTTCCCACTTCTTGGTACACAGCTTCTAAAAATTCCTTGGACTCTCTGAAATGACAGTGTGCTTTTGTATGTGAATAGTTTACTGATAGATGGCAGCCTCCATCCGTCAGTTGGTCACTGGGCAGACCAAAGCAAGACTAGGGGTCTGAGACTTGTAAATAGCCAATGATATAATGTCCAAGTAAGGAAGTTTCCATAAAAAAACCACAAATGGACAGGGCACTGGGAGCTCCTAGAGCTGAACACATACATTGCAGAGGGATGGCACATGTGAATACAGCATGGAAGCTCTGTGCCCCTTCACACATTTCCTTGCCTTACGCAAGTCTTTACCTGCATCCTTTGTAAAAGACTGGTAAACATGTTTCCCTGAACTCTGTGTATTGCTGTAACAAATTAATCCGAAGAAAGGAGGATGTTGTGGGATTCTTGACTTACAGCCATTTGGGGTTCTTACCGGGGCTTTCCATACATATCAAAGTGTCAGACAGCAGACCTGGGGAGCCTTCATCCTTGGGGATCTGATGCTATCTCCAAGTAGGCAGATTCAGAACTGAATAAAACTAGAGGACACCAGCTCTTGTCTGCAGCAGAAATGCTTATTTGCTTGCTGGTGGGTAGAAATCTCCAGACTTTTTGAGATTCCAGAAGTCTACTATGTTGATTACTACAGTGTGTGTGCGAGAACAGAGGGAAGACACTTTGTTTTTCTGACAGCCATCTCCCAACAGGAGTAATAAACCAGGTCTTGCTCAGTCTGCCACTTGGCTCCTTCTCAAACTCTACCCTTTCTCTTCACCTTTGCTGTCTGCAGCAACTCATTTATTACTTCTTTGGTCTGGCTTACTGTAGTTCAACTGTATTCCTGCCTCTACTTTGTGTCCTTTCAATCTCAGTCTTCTCATGGTAGCCAAAATAATAAACCTAAAATGTGATTTTTTGGGTTCAAAGTCCTTCAGTGGCTTCTGTTGCTCCTTGATTTAGCCAAGTAAAAAGGCTAAAGAAATGGCAGGAGCAATTTCCCTTCCATACTACATTATATGGCTGAAGAGTAAATTAGTCTTCTGCCTTTTGTGCTTAAAATATTATATAATGAATCAATCTATATAGAAATAAATTTTAAATTTTATTCTTAAAACTTATACTTCTATTCTTCTCATTTATTGCATTATGGCTTAAACTGAAGCTAAAACAACTTTCAAATAGGTTCCCCCACCTGTGTCCCCCACTCAGGCTCCTAACATAGCTCTGTGTGTGGAATTTTACTCCTTAATCCACCCCAACATTGCTACAAGGTAAATTTAATCATATTACATTATGCTTAAATGTATTCAATGGCTACTCACTACAGTTAGATAAAAATCCCCAATGCATCAAGCTGAATACTGAGCTCTTCATCTCTGGCCTTTTCCGACCTGGTCATTTTTATGCAAACATGTATCATAATCACCCATGGAATTTGTTCAACATATGTGTTAATTTGTTAGTGTGTGTTTGGCTCCAACTTAGAAACCATACTGTAACAGGTCTGAGGTAGGGCACATGACTTCTGTAGTTTCATAAAGTATCAGCTGTGATAGAGATGCCCACCAGGAGCCTCAGCTCTTAGCAATACTCTCCCCAAAGCACAACACAGCCGCCCAAGGCATCAGCAGTCTGTGCAGCACGTTTCCTCCCACCCTGCATCTCTGCCACAGAACACCTTCGCAGAGCAGCTCCGTGCTCTTCCTTGCCTAATTCCTTCTCACCTGCCAAAGCTCATTAGCTCATTGGCAAACTTCCCCCAGAAAATCATTTCTCAGTCCCCTCCAAGCTGTCCTAGCTGAGTATCTTGTGCTTACTTTATTACGACCTCTTTACAGTGTTACACTACCTGAGTATACCTGGCTTGGAAAAAGGCAAGGTGTTTCATCTTTGTGGCTCTCACATACAATACAGCAATTCTGTACACAGGGAGAGCTCACTAAATAATTATTGACATATATTCTAACATGAAATGAAGAACTATTCCAACCTTAAGTGAGGGTACTTTTAAAAAAGTTTTTATGTATAGAAATATTATTTTTAAATGTTTTCTCTATAAAATAAACCAGTTAAAATAGCATTTTTACACTGGTCAGAAATGTTGGAATTCTTGGATCAGGACTCACTCTGCCTCTGAAAAAGAAACTGTAACTGCTCAGATAGGGCAAGGTCACACATTAACATTAGGCATGCTGCCAGTGAGACTGGATCAGTATCAATCCTTTCCTCCAAAGCTGACGATGGAAGATGTGGGATGATTACACTCACTGGAGACTCCTGGTGAATGGGCTCAGTCTCCAGGTTGCTCTGGACTTCAGCATGTTCATTAAGGTTAGCTGTTTCACTGCTGCTGGTGCTGAGGCTGCAATAATCTGTAGCGCCATTTACAAGAATGCTGTGTGGGCTACTGCGCCAATTTAACTGGTTACTATGATTTTCCAGATCTTTCATTTCCATTAGTTTCATCTGTATCTGTCAACACAAAAATGGAAGTACAGTATCATTCGTTAAGAGAAAGACATGAAATGTAAAAATGATTATCACTTTGATCAAGGAAAAATTTGATAATTATATATATATGCATGTATGTATTTTAAACAAAACTTACATATTTGAAAGACAGAGTGAGTGAGCTCCATGTACTGGTTCATTTCTTAAGTGTTTGCAACAATCCAGGCTTGGCTAAATTTGGAGAAGGAGACAAAACCCATCTCCCACATGGGTAGCAGGAAACGAGTCACTTCAATTATCACCACTGTCTCCCAAAGTCCCTACCCACAGGAAATGGAGCTAGTGCTTGCAGCCAGACACTCCAATACAGGAGTCAAGTGTCAATCACGAGGTCAACACCCACTCTACAGAGAGACTTTAGTATCATCTCCCAGTATGTCTCTTGAAATACCAATGCACATGGGCTTGCTTTAGCACATCTTTTGATATTTCTTAGGAAATCTGATAAAAATATTTGTAGATTGGTAGTGCTTCAGGGTGTAATTAGAAAAATAAGGTCCACAGTATTGGAGGGAAAGACAGCAAAATACCAGAAAAAGAAGAGGAAATCCGGGGAGTGGCCCCATGGTGTGGTAAGCTAAACCTCTGCCTGCAGAACAGGCATTCAGTACGGGCACAGGTCCAAGCCATAGATGCTATGCCATCCAGCTCCTTGTTTATGGCCTGGAAAAGCAGCAGAGGGTAGTTCAGGTCTTTGAGCTGTTGTACTCAATTGGCAGACCCAGAAAAGGATCTTGGGCTCTGGATTGGCTTGGCTCTGCCCATTGTGGCCATCTGGGGGACAGAGATCTCTGAGGCTCTGCCTTACAAATAAAAGTAAAAGCAGTAGTTTCTTAAATGCTTGGGACTCTGCACCCACATGGGAGACCTGGAAAAAGCTCCTGGCTTTAGATTAGCCTAGCTCTGGTTGTTGTAGTTCCTTGGGGACTGAACCAGAGGATGGAAGATCTCTCTACTTTTCTCTGTAATTCTTTCAGGTAAAATGAATAAAAATTTTTCACAAAAAAGCAAAGAATCTATACATGTGAACAATCACATTACCTACATTTATCAGCAGAAGAAATAATTTTCTAATTGAAAAACAAAGCAAAGGTCTTCAAACCAGCAAAAACTCAAATCCCAAAAAAGAAGGTATGTGCTCACTTTGGCAGCACATATACTAAAATTGGAACAAAAAAGAAGATATCAGGATATTATTTATTTTTTTAAAGCAATGTTTATTGAATATTTATGCACCAAACACACTGCCAAAATTTCTCATAGATTTTATCTCTGTTAATCCTTAGAGTAGTTTTAAGAGGCAAGGGCATTGTTAACTGTCCAATTTTAAAGGTAATGAATTTGACACTAAGTTTATTCACCTAGTAATGGCAAAGCTAACATGTGAATCTATTCCACCCAACTGCAAAGGTCATACTCTATGACCATTTACAAGATGTACAGTTTTACCAACATATAACAGTGAAAAGAAATCTGCTGATAGAAAACTTTTGGAAAAATGAGGTTAGTGCTGTTGACACAGTGCATTAAGCTGCTGCCCGTGACACTGGCATTCCCTAAGAGTATCAATTCATGGCCCAGTAGAATGGTTCAATTTGCTAATTCTTCCCTTGTAAGCACTAAGATCACTCATGGGCACGGGTTTGTGTCTTGGCTGCTCTACTTCCCATCCAGCTCCCTGTCTGTGATCTGGGAAAGTAGTACAGGATGGTTCAAAGCCTTGGGCCCATTTGGGAGACATGGAAGAAAACTCTGGGATCCTAGCTTTAGATTGGCTCAGCTCCAGCTGTTGAGGTCATTTGGGGAATGAATCAGCAGATGGAAGATATTTATCTTTATAAATCAGCCTTTCCAATAACAATAAATAAATCTTAAAAAAAAAAAAAAAAAGAGCATCAGTTCAAGTCCTGGCTTCTCTACTTCTAATCCAACTCCCTAGTAATGTGCCTTGGAAAGCAGAGGAAGCTGGCCATATACTTGTGCCTCTGACACCCATGTGGGGGACTGGGTGAGGCCCAGTTTGAGGTCACTGGCAAGTAAACCAGTGCATGGAAGATCTCCATCTCTCCCTGGAACTCGACCTTTCAAGTCAATATCAATCTTAAAAAAGAAAAAGAAAAAAGAAAGCCATTGAAAAATTGAACACATGAAACAAATAGTATTATTGGTTGAAAGGTATATGATGTTCCATCTGAGCACATTTGTTTTTTCAATGGTTTAATTTTTTTTTGAAAGTCAGATATACAGAGGAGGAGAGATATTGGAAAGTCAGATATACAGCGAGGAGGAGAGACAGAGAGAAAGATCTTCCATCTGTTGATTCATTCCCCAAGCGGCCACAAAGGCTGGAGCTGAGCCTATCCGAAGCCAGGAGCCTGGAGCTTATTGTTCCGGGTCTCCCATGTGGGTCCAGGGTCCCAAGGTTCTGGGCTGTCCTTGATTGCTTTCCCAGGCCACAAGTAGGTTCGCCAGTATTATAACCAGCGCCCATATGGGATCCTGGGGCGTGCAAGGTGAGGACTTCAGCCGCTAGGCCACCGCACCAAGCCCTGAGCATATTTCTTACATCACGAAGACTTACTGTGCTGATCTCCTGCTGTGAATCTTGTAGGTGCTGCTGAAGTGGTTCCAGCTGAACTTTCCCTGACTCCACACTCTCCTCTAGCTCAGCTGTTTCTTGCTGGAGGCGGCTGAGCTCTTCTCTAGCTTTGGCCAGTTCTTCTTCGTAAGTAGAGATTTGTGATTCCTGACTAGTTAATTCAGCTTTCAGAGATGAGATCTAGGCATTGAGGCAAAGGAGAAGAAGGGGAGGTCGAGAGAAGAAATATTAAAATGTATCCCAAGATAGCACATTTCTTTATTATTTTGTAGAGTTTTGGCAAAGAAGGGTAATTAGGGGTGGGATACGGAAGAGTTGAAGGCACAGCCACCATACTTCCAATCCAAGACTGGAAAAAAGTACATGAAGGCCTTTCTTTTTTTCACTAACGAGGGCCTGTAGTTCTTGGATGGACTTGGCTCAGTCTCCCTCATGTGCCCATGTGACTACAACGCCACCCAACAACAACAACAACAAAAAGCAGAGTTATAGATGCAGGCAAGAGTACACAGATTTTACCAGCTGGGCCTCCTCGGCACATTTCTTTCTGACTTCCTTGAGCTGTTCTTCCAGTTGGGCTTTCTGCTCATCCAGTTCATCAAGAAGTTCCTGTACTTGCTGCTTCTGGGCCTGAAGTTTTTGCAGATTAGTATTTTCCCTTTGAACTTCATCCTGAAGATCCTTAAGAAAATCGACATATTTTAGTCTCTTGGGTACAAAGGGAGATGCTAGCAATCTGTCAAGCCTATCTTAAGGGAAAATAGTCTTGTCTTGGTGTGTTGGTGGATGAGATTACTCATAGCTTGAATTCCAATCTTTACTTGAGAAATTTTCCTAGACTTTAGACTTAGGTATCCAATTTGCTTACTCAAACCTGCCTGTGGGTGTCTGATGGGCTCTATGAACATATGGGAAACAGACCTCCTGGCATTTCTCCCTAAATTTGCTTGCACCTCAATCTTCCCCCTTTCTCTGGTCAAAAGCATGACATCTTTCTTGTCAAGGGACAACTTTTAAATTAATCTCTAAATCACACCAAACAGAACAATGAATTGCAGATATGCTACAGATCTGAATGTGAAAGAGAAGACCTTAAAACGTATAAAAGAAAATGCATGACTCACTGTAAGGAGGGGGTTTCTTAAAGTAAAACAAACAAAAAAGAACCATTTAAAAAATGCTGTATTTATCTGTGTGCTTAATGATAAGGGCGATAGAGATTAAATATTTTTAAATTTATTTTTTATTAATTATTAATTATTTTTGTATTTAAGGGAAATAATCCCAATGTCATTACTGCATGAAACATAGCAGCCAAGATGGCCTAATCTACATATATAAAAGCTGAAATTCCTCTTTTGGTCACCAGGAAAATCATTTGATTTTATTCCCAATTCTCCCAATAAGAGCAAATTACTAATACCACTGGTGGTGCAAAAGAGAGAGGCTAATGGACTACCTATAAAAAGGATTCCTTAGGAAAATAGAGCTTAGTTCTGTTGAGGAACCACAGGTGAGAAAACAGGTTGGTAATTCCAAGGTACATGTCAGAAGGTAGTCTGAGATCGCAGATAAGATTAAAACTGAGCATAAATTTATAAAAATAAGATCTTTAATTACTTTATTCAAAGTTCTCAGTAACCATTAATCAGAATTAAGAATATAAAAATAAGAGAAGAAAACACACCACAAGTTTGTGAATTATTATGTGATTCACACAAGACAGGACCACCCACCATAATAGCAAATATTTAAGATGGTATCTAACAAAGGCAAGGCACTAGTCTCTAAAAACTCATTTACAATCCACACAAAAGACAGATGAGATAGCCACCATCATTCACATTTTATAGATGTGAAAACCAAAGAACAGTTAAGCAAGAAACTTATCCAAAGTTATAGCCGACAAAGCAATCAAACTAGGTTCTGACACCACTCTTAACTACTATGCTATAAACTGCCCAAAGAATAAATGACTCACAACATATGTAATATTTTTCACAATGCATGTAAGTACTTCTGTGATTAAACACTGAACCATGCTTTTAATAACTGTTTTGTCTTAAATTTCTCAACCAACTGGTCTAAAATACTATTATCATACTCCTTAAAACGCCAACATAATAGATGATCACGATTCTATCAGTGCCAACACCCCTGAGTTATGTGGTTACATGTTCATGTTGGGCTCCTCTAGTATCCTATCATTAATGTACTGGCACTCCTAAGTTCTTAACCTTCCTGCACTGCTACTGTCCCAAAGCCAAATACAATAAAGCTTTAGATATGTACCAGGCCCAGGAGCTACATAAACTCATTCTGAATGTGTGAAATGGCTTCAATTTCTGTGTTGCTAAGCACAGTAACTTCAAGTCTATCTTTGACTTTCTCTCAGTTCACACATGTCCTATATATTCTATCATAAAATTTCTCTTGAAGATCATCTCAAAGCTTCCATAGACCCTCTTTATGAATGATTCTGTTTCTACCTACCTCAGATTTACAACTCTTAAAGACTAACTCATTACAAAAGATGTCTTTTTCTTTCTTCTGAAAAGATGCATTTATTTACTTTTATTTGAAAGGCAGATTTTCAGAGAGAAGGACAGGCGGCGGGGGGGGGGGGGAGAAGAGAGAGAGAGAGAGAGCGAGGGAGAGAGAGAGAGAGATCTTGCGGTACTGCAGGTGGAGGATTAACCTGCCAGCCCCAGGATATTCCTTTAATTAGTGTTCTATTTTAAATATGAGAGTATTTCAAGACATTTGTAGAAAACAGAATTAACAAATAGTTTATTTTAGACTTAGAAAACAGTTTTTTTCCCCTCCCACAATATTCCTTTCCCATGGAATGGAAAGTAACTGTTAGAACAGGACACACCAAGACCCTATGTGACCTGCCCTCAGAAGACCCTGGGCCTTCCCAGTAGATAATACATGTCAGCATCCCTATGCCTTTCTCCAAGTCATTTACTCTTTCTGTCTAGAAAGTCACTATTCATTCCTCAAAGGCACAAACTTAACTGCCTCCCACCAGCCTACGGCTTCCTTGTGATCTTACAACAATTTGTTTCTAACCTCTATTTGCATACCTGCTACAGTGTATCAGTTATGTGTAAAACATAAATTGCTGAGGAACCGAAAGCACGCTTCATCTGCTCCTGTCTTCCAAAATCCACACAATGTCCAGCACATCCCAGGGAATTAATTAAGCAATCATTCTAAATATCACAAGATTTTAATATCAGAGGAAAGCTAATGGGAAATGTTCCTGAGACTAAAAAGTAACATATTATTTTACCAAAACATGAAAAGGCTCACTCTGTATTTAAACTATAACTAAATATTAACCTCAAACTGACTAAATGCTTTTGAAAAAATTTAAATGATTACATGCCATTTAAATTTGAAAATATGTTTAGAGAGATGTGCTACTGGGCAATTTTATCATTTTACAAACACATTATATTTATACAAATTAAGAATGGCACTAGGCAATAACATTTTATATAAGATCATCATCATATATTTGGTCAACCTTTTGTTGAGCAAAGCATCAGAATGTGGCCCATAACTATAATTCCCATATAATTATATAATCCTATTCCAGTATTTTTATAGTCTATGGACCAAGGCTAATCCAATATATGGAGATAATTCTTACTGCTTTAGCATGCCACTGTGGCATAAACCTTTCTTATATTTTAAAGTGTATATATTTGCTTGTTCACATTGTATTATGTATTATCTTACCCTCAGGAAGGCAGAATGAAACATTCTTATCATAGTGGTTTGAAAAATTCTAATAATTTGGGGCCTGGCGCGGTGGCGCAAGTGGTTAAAGGTCCTCGCCTTGCACACCCGGGATCCCATATGGGCGCCGGTTCTAATCCCAGCAGCCCCGCTTCCCTTCCAGCTCCCTGCCTGTGGCCTGGGAAAGCAGTCGAGGACGGCCCAAAGCTTTGGGACCCTGCACCCGCGTGGGAGACCCGGAAGAGGCTCCTGGGTTCGGATCGGCATAGTATCGGCCTGTTGCACTCACTTGGGGAGTGAATCATTGGACGGAAGATCTTCCTCTCTGTCTCTCCTCTCTGTATATCCGCCTTTCCAATGAAAAAATAATAAAAATAAATCTTTAAAAAAATTCTAATAATTCATCTATAAAATATTTTAAAAGAATGCCACCAGCAGATCTAAATTCATTTTTTTAAAAAACGATCTACTGAATTCAGAGTTACAGAGAGATGGAGAGAGAGAAATCCTCCATTAGCTGATTCACTCCTCAAATGACTGCCTTGGTTAGTGCTGAAACGAAGGTAGAAGCCGGGGCTTTGTCAGTTCTCCCCTGTGGGTGCAGGGCTCTTTCTCTTCTGCTTTCTCAGGCTATAATCTGGGAGGTAGATCGGGAATTGGAGCAGCCAGCACAGGAACTGGCACCTTTATGGAATGCCAGCACTGCAGGTGGAAGACTAGTTAGTCACACCTTGGTGCCAGTCCCCTAAATTAATTTGATTAACTTTGGAATATAAACCATTTCAAGTTCCATACTTAATTAATAAAAATAAAAATCCTTATATAGTTTATGTATAGCAACATGCTAGCCTCGAAAACATTTTTTAAATACTAGAGGAAAATATAATTTTTTTAAATTACAAATGTTCAGGATTGAGAATAGAAAAATATATTTTAAAAGCCTCATCAGCAAACATTCTTGTATAATTTCACATCCAGCTTCAAAATTCAAAGAAAAAACCCCAAAACTTAACATCTTTAATAATATTTAGTCATTGGAATGAGATGTAATTTTAATGTCTTCAAAATTTTAATGTTCTTCAAGAAAAATACAATTATCTTAAAAAGGTCATTTTTTTTTTGAAAAAAGCTTAGGCTAGTATTAACTTTTAAAAGATTAATACAAAGGCATATACATAATAATCAGAAATAAGTCAAAGTCCTTTTTGTATATTCACAGAATATTTAAAAAAATTCAAACAAGGGTCTACCTAGTAAGGCTTTCTTTTTCCTTTTTTATTCTTTTGTTTTACAAGTTCACTATGAACTGATACTTCTATAGTCAGAAAATGTCAATTCTGCTGTCTCTTAAGTATTACATCTCTGGTGGTTTTACACTAATATAAAAAAACTCTGATGTGACTGAAATTTTATGTAACAACTACCAATAATATACCAATGTTTCCTTTAATAAACTGAGCCATTTTTCAAAAAGAGTATTCTTGCTGAACCACTTAAATAGAACATCAGACCACAGTCTTATGTAAGAGGGAAGGGAATTTAAAAAAACAATAATACTTCCTCACTCCTCCTCTTTTTGTTCCAAAGAGCAAACACATTCACTCAAATTTCCCAACCTTACTGCCCATTCTCATTCTTTAGCTGCAGTAAAAATCCTCATAACACAAAAGTATAGGAAATGTTTCAATGGGAAGATTACTGAGAAAACACTTTACATAGTGAGATACTTCAAGTAGGACAGGATTCACACTAAAACACATTATACTCACTGCTTCTTCAGGTTTATTTCTAAATACAAAAAAAAGCTTCTTTATAAAAAATAAGCAATTGGGTTACCCCAATTGTTACACAAAATGAGTCTTCTTTTTCAGGAAGCAAAATTCAATTATCAAACTGCACAAAATTAAAATTAGCAGTTGCAAATACACAAG